CCCCAAAACCCCAAAACCCCTTTAATATTGAAAACTAACATAAAGTTTAGTTATAAATCGAATAATCAAAATCTTTGGTCCAATTTTAAATCAAAATATACTGCATCCTTGAATAACCTATTAATCATTTTTGAATTCAGTTTCAATCACAGTTTGATCTGGCTTTGTAATTTTGTACTTTCCTACTCTTTTACCTTTACTAATAGGACCTTGATATTAAGTGCCATCAGTGTCATATAGTAGAGCATTACAGTCGGACTTCTAATTATTCTTGTAGTTTCCTTTATATTTGACTTTTCCATTTTCATAGTATTCACACACTGTTCCATGAAGCATATCTTCAAAGAAAGCACCATGAATGCAAATTTTCCCACTTGGATAAAACATCCTGCTAAATCCCTATCTCTTATCATTTACCCATCCACCAGAGTATGAATATCCATTTGTGTATTACATTATGCCTTGACCATGTCTCATTCCATTTTCAAATGCTCCAGAATATAATCCATTATCCAGCTTATTTTCTCGCTTTATTGGATGATTATTTGCCATTTTATCAATAATTACCTCACTTTCAACTTTCATAACCTCTTACAATTCACTAACATTCTATTTGACTTCCTCTTCAATTAAAATCTAATTTTAGGAGTTAATATCATTCTTTGTTGAAAATCTTTCGTAATAGTTGGTAGCATCAGATTAAATAGAGGGTCTATCTAGATAATTTTAATCTGCTAGAGAGGGATTATTAGAACTATTAATTGCAAAGTTTGTTTAAGACTTAGTTATAAGTTAATTCTAAGATTGTACTATTTGTCTTTGCTGAGAAATATCATCTTAGTTTTATAAAAATTCATAATTATCGTCCTCATCAACAGAAACAATATTTTATTCCTGATCAATAGTGGAATCTATATTTTAGAATAATTCATTCTGAAGAATCTTTTCAAATGATATTCTGTCTGACGATTCTATCTTGAGTATATTATTTAATATTCCTTCTAATGCTTTATATTTTTCTGGCAGTTTAATGTCACTTTGCTGATTGACTAACTTATAATATGAAAGGCATTCTTCCTTATTTGTCATGGGATTAAAGTATTTAGGATTTCCAGTACACATAAACATTATAATAACTCCTAGAGACCACACATCAATTGACTTATCATATCCAGAGTTACCTACTTCTGGTGCTTTATATGGACCTGTGCCAGCATCATTAGTTGAATAATCATTGTATGTTGTCAATCCAAAGTCAGACAATTTTATAGTTAAATTTTTGAAGATCAAGAAATTCTTTGGATTTAGATCTCTATGGATAATACCCTTTGAGTTTAAAAACATAACAGCATCTATCATTTGCTTCAACATTTTTACTATTACATCTAATGATAAATCTCCTTGTCTTAATCGACTGTCAAGTATATATTTTTCAAGGTCACTTAAAGCCAACTCAGTTACTATAACAAATTCATCATCAGGAGTCATAAAAGACTGCTTCATCTAAAGAATATTGGGATGTCAATACTGAAATGTATTAATCTCTTTTAGCTTGTTAAGAAGATGCAGACTTAATGAATGACCATACGCTGGTTATAGTTATTGAATTTTGACAGCAACTTCTTCATTTCAAGGTTCTCCAACTAGTCTTGTCATTTTATAAACTTTTCCGAAGCCTCCTTATCCAATAAGCTCCTATTTTAGAAATAAATCATCTACTCTAATAAGCTTCATATCTAAAAGTGTATCCATTAATATTACTCTTCCTTTTAATAATAGTAATAAAAAAAGTCATTTATAACTTAAAACTTGAATAAGATATATGTAATAGAAAATTTTGGACAATTAATGAAGTTATGTAATAATTAAGCTATTTCCTTAATATTTTATGATAATTATTGAATGGGGTTTTGGGGTTTTGGGG